CATACATAAACTAAGTTTTAAGGGGACCTTTTTTTAAATCTGCCACACTGCTATAATTCTACTGTGATTTGTATGTAATTCAAAGTTGTTCCCCAAGGCTATCAATCCAAAGTTAAGACAAATGTCCACTGGGGGAGGGGGGGGGGGGGGGGGGTGTCTAGGAAATATCTTCATTTGTCATCTATGTTCCTAGAAATATGAAAATTATGAAGAGATATGACAGAGACATGACACAGATGTATTTTTCAAATGTTTTCTTTTTTTTTTTTGGTAGTGGGGTAAATGGCACACCTTCTTTAAGGTTTCTCCTGCTGTTTGTATCCCCTTTAGGGAAAGTTCTCCATGCTTCCTGAATAGTCACTGGAACAGAACACCTCCAATGGTCCCCGCTGAACTGAATCTGCTTACTTTCTGCCATAGTGACAGGAAGTGACAGAAGATCTCCCCAGCGGAGAACACAGAATAGCCATAGCAAAAAAAAAAAACTTACAGTAAGTCTACCTAAAAAAAAGATTTTGGCTCCAATTCCAAACAATACGGAGGTCTACCTTCTGGGTGCCATGATGATTTGGTGGACAGACTATACAGCTTTCAAACAAATAAGTTCCACATCGCTCCTTGCAATATTTGACTGAATGCCCCAAGTTTATATCAAGGCTGAGCTGTCATTCATTATGCTCTTCCTATAAATGGGTATGATTTTGATGTATACATGGTGTTGGTCACATGATCCTTTGGATAGAACTAGGTTTAATAGTTGAAACTCAGAGCAGCCTCTTGGTCAAAAGCCAGAATCTCTTCCATAGACCAGGCAACTAATCTTTTGTCAGTGTATTTATAGCACTCTACTCCCAGGAATTAGAGTGTTTTTGTTTTTCTCAGTATGAGAGCACTGTTAAGCTGGCAAACAGTGCTTGCTGTTACTTGTAGTGCCAACACTCACAAAATGTTGCCTGACAGACAGTCAAATAAAATTTTAAGCGGAACTTCATTCTCTCAATCAACATTGACTATTTTTAATCCTTATGGTTCTAGCATTAGTAAACAGATTGGAAAGCATACACTATATATACTGGTTTTAAACTTTTTTTTTTAAGGGGAGGAGGTGCTTTCTCAGATAAGCACACCCTCCTGCCTGCATGCCTGAGCTAAGCGCAGATGGATTCCAAGAAGTAAATGCTACATGCATCATCTGCCCTTACTCAAGTTGGCCTTGGCCACACATGCTAGGGTGTCGTTTTCTAAGTGATTTTTAAAAAAATGTATATCATTTTTTTTTACACAAATAGAGCTTTCTTTTGGTGGTATTTGATCACCACTGGTATTTTTTTGCTATATATAAAAAAAAAAAGACCAACAATTTTGAAAAAAAAAAACCCCAAACGTTTTTCATAAATTTTGTCCAAAATGTACTCTGCAACATGTCTTTGGTAAAAAAAAAAAAAAATCCCAATAAGTATATATTAATTGGCTTGCGTAAACGGTTACATACACACACACACACACATATATATATATGAATTTTCTTTTTTTAATACTACTAATGGCAGTGATTATCGGCTTATAATGGGACTGCGATAGTGCGGCAGGCAATTTGACAAGAACTGGTGCAGGGGGGTAACACTGGTGCTTAACATCACCAGTGACACTAATACAGTGATCAGTCATTATACTATACATGGTCACTGTAATAATGACACTGACTGGGAAGGGGTTAACATCGAAGGCGATCAAGGGCTTACCTGTGTGCCTAAGAATGTGCGCTGCTTTGCAGGAATATGAAACAGAAAGAACGTTCCCTCTGTCCAGAGCCCTGCGTTGATTGTACACAGATGATCAGCAGGTTCCAGCCATGAATCATTGGCCAGGACTTGCTGACAGACTACCACTACATACAATCAGAGCGGGTGTCAGGCGGAGGGGGGGAGCGTGCATGCGCACGTCCAATACCTGAAAGCAGGCAGCGATTTACCAGTACATTGCTGTGCTTGCATGGGCCGCCCATCCGCAGTACATTACGGGCAGAAGGTCCTTAAAGTGGAACTGCGCTGATCTTAGTCCCCCAAACCAAAAATTCTATATAATTCATTTTAAATATTCAAAAAACAAACTGCCATCCATCCATATCTCTATGCTTTATTTTACTGAAAAATCATTTTGAAAAACACCTCCTGACATTTCTGGCAGCGGTCATCTTGAGTAAGGGCATATAATTCATGTAGTAGTTACTTCCTGGAATCCATCTGTCCTTTGCTCAGGCATTGGCTAAGCTAAGAACCCTCCTTCCCCTCCTGAAGACTACTGGGATGTATGACATCATTTGCCTAGGCATGGAATCCAGTAAGTAACTGAAGCAATGCAAAAAAAAGGTTAAAACAAGTAAATATGATATACTTTCATATCTATTTAATAATGCTAGCAGCATATGAATTAAAAATAGTCTATGTTGATTGAGAGAGTGAAGTTCCGCTTTAAGCAGTTAAACATGAATTAAATAGTGTTTTTGATGCTCAGGTGCAGTGTAGTTTTGCTTTAATGAAGGTTTTCAATGACAATCTATATTTCCACCCTGAATACTGGTTTCCTTTAGAGTGTATCTCTAGCAGGGGCGGACTGACCATTTGGAAACTCGGGCACTGCCCGAGGGCCCGGGGTCAGTAGGGGGTCCCATGAGATGCCCCTGGTACCTTTTTAATAGGCTTTTTTGAGTTTGGGCAAGGACAAAGGGGCCCCATGATCCCCTATTGCCCGGGGGGCCCCATGAGTTGTCAGTCCGCCCCTGATCTCTAGTCAAGTGTTCTTTTGGATTTGGATAGAGTATGGAAAGGTTTGAACCCCTATCAACTATTGCTGTCCAAGTCCCTACTGGATTGTTCACCCTCTATTTATCCTGGTGACCATTGTCACTGGAACTTGGTGATGGGAAATCTAAATTTAACAGATGTCACCATGACAGAAGGTGATGGGAAATCTTCCAGGATGGACACCTGGGCTGGTGATCATTGTGGGGAATTCCTCTTACCTTTGAGAGATCCCTAATGGGATACAAAAAAAATAAATTACACAGGTTTTATCCTTACTCTACTCTATAAAAGAACAAAAAATGTTTTGCCAGAAGATGCTCAGGGGTATCTGTAGGAGACACATTTTAGTTCATGCTATGGATGCTATAGTCTGTCTCTCTCAATGAGGTTGCTTATAGCCTGCATAGGGACAGAGCCCCCTGAAACTGCCTGTACAAGTGCTGCTATCAAAAAATATAATAAAATGAATGATAAAAAGACTCCATTGGCCACGTGTCCCTGTAAGTATTTTTTCTTTTACAGATAATCACCACCAACTGCTTTGCATTATTTTTAGAACACCTATAATTGTGATTGTCTATCTCTGCATATTCCCTGGGGTTGATTTACTAAAACTGGAGCGTGCAAAATAAGGTGTATAAAAACCAATCAGCTTCCTTTTTTTTTTTTTGGCAAAGCTTAATTGAACAAGCTGAAGTTAGAAGCTGATTGGCCACCATGCACAGCTGCACCAGAGTTTGCAATCTCCAGCTTTAGTAAATCAACTCCATAGATATTGATTAGGTTGTATGTGCAACTTGGGCTTTGGTAAAAGAAGAGCGGGGAACAGCCGGCACCAGCGGGTGAGTACAAATATGTACTGGTTTAGTGCTGGGGTTTGAGTTAACACAGACAAAATAGGATTCATGCACATAAATAGTCAGCAAGGGCTATTGGAACCATTACCCCTGCTTCTGGAGTGTGGGAAAAATTGGTCTGTGGGCAAAGTGTACCAAAGTGAGATCTCCAGTTGTAGTTTCTGCATATGCAATCTTCCATGTGTACCTTTCTCCATGTTTATAGGCAACGCTATGTTTGTCACTCCAATAATACTATTCTTTCATGAAACTGTAGTAGGGGTGCACGACTTGTTTATTGCCGCAATGGGAAGTAGCTCCTCTCTATTCCTGTTTTGGTGACAGCTATAAAATTCTTCACTTTCTGTCCTGGTGACAATGGTCATCAGAACAAAAAAAAAAAGAAGGGAGGATGAATCCCACCAGACACAGACAGCAACAAGAAAACCCAAAGTAGGAAGTCAACACCACCTAAAGAGATGTGTTTCCATAAAATATTGTGGACACATAAAATCACATACCGTAGGTCAATATATGCCAACATTTTGGGGCTTCGTAGGGTTTCCCTGAGAAAGGGGGCCCTGGTTGGCATATTGACCTATGTGACATTATACATCCATGATAAATTGTTGAAACGCATCTTTTGGAATGCTAATGACTTCCTGCTTTATGATTCTGATCTTGCATGGTGCTACCCATTGCAATCACTTCAAGCCCCTCATGGTTTACCTGCCTGGCATAGCAGGGATTGTGCAGCTCAGGACAAGATTTGCAGCAATGAAAACCTGAGAGGGAGTTCATTTCATCACTCAGAAAAAAAATTGTATCTGAAACCGAAACGGTTTTAGCTTTGCACAGACCACTTTATTTCAGACCAACAAACAACTTTCCTGCAAGGGCCATGGTTTTTCTTAGTACACCATGAAATAACATCTCTTATGTAAGCCCCTTGTCTTCAGTTAGATTACAGAATGGTGCACTCAGTGTCTATGACACTGAGCCAAAATGATGCAGAACCCAGCTCCTATATAACAACTGGAGGCTAGGCACATGTCCATGCCATTAGTTTCAAGCCCCTGTAAGTATGACAAAAAGAGTTTTGCTTGGGGTGAATACCATCATACAGAAAGCACAGTTGTGCAATATAGGAGGTAGTACATCACATTAGAACTACTGTAGAATTCAAGTTTCCAAGTTGTGGGGGGACTCCCCCAGGAGCACAAACTGGTCATGAGTAATATGCCTCTTGTTTCTATATCACCTAGTGGGGACTATTGCTTGGAAAACATGACTCCTTATGGGATATCAATAGGCCCAAGCTCAGAATGATACTGTTACAGAGTAATAGAGCATGACTTACCCAGAAGTAGATTTACAAGAACTTCTTGTCCAGCTAGTGTGTTGCTATTCCATAGGCAAATCAGCGTGCCAACTATCCAGGGTAGGCCATGGCTCGTTATTCCGATCAGCTTGACCATGGACCGTGCACTTGCCCACGAAGATGTACTGTTAGCACAGACTCCAAGACTTTTAGATGTAGCTATATCGATAGCCATGAGTGAATTCCATGCAATCCCTTTAAATGAGGGATTTAGCTGCATGCAGTCCTCTTCTGGCAGCTGCTGGCTTTGCCGTCTATCCCGGGCACCTTCACTGGAGTTTCCATATTGGCCACTCTGTTTCCTGTTGTAGTTTCGGGCCTCCTGAGGTGTTGTTGCTGACTGATTGAGAGACATAAACTCCGGTCTGGCTAGGACATTATTCCTGTCCCTGGCTCTACTCTTCCGCTGAGGGGCTGGCATTGTTGCTGTAGCCCAAGATCTCCAAACCAAACTTTCTTACAAAAGGTCAGGGCAAAAGGGTTGGGCAGTGCTCCTTGACGTTTTTGTTGTAAGTAAGCTAATGAACTTTTGCATGGGTGAGAGCCGGCTGCTCAGAGCACACATCTCCTGAGTTATATTTAGTCAAGGAAGAATGCCTTCGATGTTTACTCCTTACTCTGGCTGGGCCTGACAGCCGAAGTCAGCTGCCTATCAGGAGCTCCCTGGCAGCTGCAGCATCCAATAGGGAACAGAACATTTTGGAAGGTAACATGAGGACTCACATGGATGATGGTCTATTTAAACTTTGCAATAATTCTCATGGAACACAAAGGATTCTGGGATATGTAGTATGTTGTCAGCAGCTGTGCAATCACTAGACCAATCTCAGCTGTTCACTTTACACCAACCAATTATACCATAGCAGGACAACTAATCTGTCTAGTTTTAAATGTGTTTTTTAGCCTTTCAAGATTTATATATACTGTATTTCATAATCTTTGATATATATGGTCTGCCATACTGCAGTTATCCACAGCAAGCAATCACAACAGTAGTAAAGCAGTATTAAAAGAAAAGTGTAATATATTGCAGCTTCACAATCCTTAAAGTAGATTTATAGGCAAAGCATTTTTTTTTCATTTTAGATAGGGGCTATAACCCCCCACTTACTCTATCATTTTTTGCCATCGTCTCAATTGGGAGATATTTCCTTTATTTCCCATCCCATAGCTAAAACAGAAAGTGAATGGAAATCCCTTTGTAGTAAAGGAATCCCTGGTTGTCACCAGACCTAGTGTCGGCATCAGAAAATTTCCCCTCTATTCCTGTTCTGGAGGCCAAAGCTATTTTGGCTGTACTTCTCCTATGGGTCACAGGATTTCGTTCTGCACTCCTGTGGCTTGTTTTTTAGCAGACAGCGGGCTAAAGCGGATATCACTCAGCCAGTTCAGACTCTGGAGATATCCCAACTTTAAGGTTGGGATCCACCCAGATGCTTGGTCTGACAATTGGATTAGCCTCTCAGCATGCCACTGAGAATTTGAGCCAGCTGCCCCCGGCCCCTCCACAGCACGGCAATCCAGTGAGTGCTGGAAGGGCAGAGCAGGCTGACAGTCATCAGCTCTCTGTTCACTGAAGACCGAGAACGGTTTGATCACTCAGTTCTCTTAGTCTTAGAGGCTGCGGGGGACATACAGAGGTTTGAAAAAGTATTCATACAACTTGAGATTTCGCACATTTTGTCAAGTTACAACCAAAAACCTAAATGTATTTTATTGGGATTTTTGTGATAGACCAACACAAAGTGGCACATAATTGTGAAGTGGATGGAAAGTGATAGATGCTTTTCAAAATGTTTTACAAATAAATATCTGAAGAGTGTGGTGTGCATTTGTATTCAGCTCCTTTACTCTGATACCCCTAACTAAAATTTAGTGCAACCAAATGCATTCAGAAGTCACCTAATTAGTAAATAAAGTCCACCTGTGTGTATTTTAATCTCAATATAAATACAGCTGTTCTGTGAAGCCCTCAGAGGTTTGTTGGAGAACATTAGTGAACAAACAGCATCATGAAGGCCAAGGAACACACCAGACAGGTCAGGGATAAAGTTGTGGAGATGTTTAAAGCAGGCTGAGCTTATAAAAAAATATCTCAAGCTTTGAACATTTCACTAAGCACTGTTCGATCCATCACCCAAAAATAAAGAGTATGGCACAACTGCAAACCTACCAAGACATGGCCGTTCACCTAAACTGAAAGGCCGGGAAAGGAGAGCATTAATCAGAGAAGCAGCCAAGAGGCCCATGGTAACTCTGGAGGAGCTACAGAGATCCACAGCTCAGGTGGGAGAATCTGTCCACAGGACAACTATTAGTCGTGCACCGCACAAATCTGGCATTTATGGAAGAGTGGCAAGAAGACAGCCATGGTTGAAAGAAAGCCAAAAAAAAAAGTCCAATTTGCAATTTGTGAGAAGCCATGTGGGGGACACAGCAAACATGTGGAAGATGAGAACAAAATTGAACTTTTGGCCTAAAAGCAAAATGTTGTGTGTGGGGGGAAAACTAGCACTGCACATCTCCCTGAACACACCATCCCCACCGTGAAACATGGTGGTGGCAGTGTAGGCCATGTACCGAGGTGGGCTCCCCAGGATACAGTGAAGTCACAAACGAGGAAAACAACCCCAACACCAACTTTTGCCACAACAGAATTTTACTTAGATGTGGCAAATAAACACAACCACAAATGCTGGAAACATACAATAAATTTACATACATCTAGCCCAAAGGCGGAGACCCTTGTGCTGCACAGCACGGCGCCTTCTGATGGATGGATGAAAGTAGAAATTGAAGTAATTTACCTACTGGTGGGCACAAATAACCTGTTATTACCCTAAAAGAACAAGAATCAGTCAAATACAGCAAAAAGTTGCAGCGCTTGAGTATATAATAAAGGCAATTAACATATATCACAGAATTAAAAGAAGAACATTCATTTTATGACATGCACCAGATCCAACATTCATAAATTAATGTAAACAATGGTCAGGTAAATAATAAAGGTTCATTCCACTAATCAAAGTGCCTGTAGTGATAGGGATGTTAAAGTCACAAGTTTTAGGGGGTGCATCCAAGTGACAAGCAAATCCGTGACTTCCGTGATAGGAGAATAGCTATAAAATGCACTAACCAGATAGCGCAAGTAAATGTGCATTGGAGTATAATGACCTACTCCTGGTCACAGCCAAATGGTCCTCAGCGTAAAGCCCTCAGGAACACCAGTGCACCACTCTTGCCGTCTCCTACCACCAGGGGGAGTGCGCCTCTTTACAGTATCACGAAATAGCCTTATATCCTCTATCGCCAGGATTGGTGTGCTTTCATATCAGGAGATCATCTCAGGGACTTGGTAATAAGACCCAAAAGAAAGAAATCTTGATAGTGTAGTATTTTTATTCAAAAGGTAAAAGCAAGTAGCACACTTACATGGTAATGTCCAAAAAAGCTGATTCACAGAATCCAAAAAGATGGCCGACAGTCAGATGCATGAACCAAGTGGATAATACGTGGTATGAGAGGTGTCCTTATCACTAACGCGTTTCGTGGCAATGGAACATTATCAAAGGGAATGTGCCTCTCAACCCAGGTCCCTTATTTATAGAGAGGACCTCTAATTGTTCAAAAGACGCATTTTCGCGTCATTTTAGCGCTACTGTGCATGCGCAAGGCCAAGACGCCCGCGCATGCACAATGCAAGCCTGCCGCGTCATCGTGGTTAACCCGCGCATGCGCAGATCGTAACCGGCGGCCATTTTGTTGAAGTCCAGGATATGCAGAGACAGAACAAGCAATCCCCAGCCCAGAAAGAGGGGATTTAGATGGAAGAAAGCCCTCCTTACAAATACTGCTGTGTTGAACGATCTCAGCCTCACAGCATTCATTGGGGGGGTGCTGCAGAGGTATATTAAATAAATAAATAAGCAGAGAGGTAAACCACTTAAGGTGTGTGTGTAAGTATTGAATAATGGTGTTGTAGAACTACAAGTACCAGCCCCCTATGTTCATGCAAAACTGCCAGGGGCCATCAATATACACTTTAAAAACAGAGCATGAGCTGCATAAAGCAACAGAAATATCATAAAAGGACAATTACAGCCGCCAGCAATTTAAAAACGATAAAACACAGCCAATAGAATGTGCAATATGCAAATAGTCATTTAAATACGGCAATATTCATACAGATATAAATAGTCATAGTAATGATCATAAACATTACATTAATGGTCATAAAAAATAGAAATAAAATGAAATAAAATACCAATATCAAAATAACCCCTAGGATATTCCCAGGGAAAATATGGTAAAACAAATGCAACCCCGTATGAATCACTGAGGGGTGTTAATAATACCTAACCATGTACAAAATATACACAACACAGAAAGTTGAGTTTAAAATAGTAAATTCAATAATTTAGAGAATAAACATTGCAAAGTGAATAAACGTGGTTAAGAAATAAGTAGGTATTAATCCAACTAATTCCTAGAAAAAAGGGGGGGGGGGGAAGAAAGGAAGAAGCCCCCCGAGGTAGGTTATGATGTTTATGGACCATAGTTTCCCACGGAAAACCTAATGATACATTAATATAAGACATTGTTAATAAAACGTACATACTGGATAATTGCTGGGATGAGGCAAGGGCAACCCAAATGGATTTAGCTGGTATCCAAAAAGCAATTTATATCCACATTAATATTTAACCCATGTGGGGCAAGTGTTCTTAATAAAAATATCCATTTGGTTTCAAGTTTCGAAACTGCTCTTAACTTGTGTACTCCTCTCCAGTGTCTATGTATTGTGTCAATTCCTATAAACCTCAGGCCATGTGGGTTCTTGTTATGTGCTTGACGGAAGTGCAAGGACAGTGAATGTTCCTTGAACCCCTTGTTAATATTCTTCAGGTGTTCCCTCAATCTATCACGAAGTCTCCTAATAGTACGTCCCACATATTGCTTCCCGCATGCACACTCCAGCAGGTATACAACATGGGTACTTTTGCACGTGATGGTAGACTGAATTTCATGTTTTACCAGTTGTGTTAGAACTAAATGTGGTTACCGGATATTTATGAATTCCATTATTAGTGCATAGCATACATCTATTACAGGGGAAGAAACCTTTACGGTTGAAGAAGAAGGAAAGTTGTTTTGGTGGATTAACAATGTTAGGGGCCAAGGTGTTTCTCAGAGGTGGTGCCTTACGGTAAGTGATTTCGGGGGCTTCCGGTAAATGGCTCCCCAACACCGGATCATTTTTAAGAATTTTCCAGTTCTTCCTGATAATACTAGCTACATCCCTAAACTGAGTGGAAAAGTCAGTGATGAAAGGACAGTATCTCTCATTGGTGGTTCTTTGCTTAGTGATAATGAGACTATCCCTATTCATATCACCCACCTTGTCCCTCTCTACCTCAAGCA